CAGAGCCTTCAAGTATTTGTACGTAATCTCTTATGTAAGTCGGAGGAATTGTGACTCAACGTGGCCTTTCGGATGGTTTCACTGAGAGCTGGTTCTGTGGATTGCTGTGGCTAGCATCCTCGCAGTTTGATGTCCCCATGTCGCTGGATACCCGCCAGTGGCCCACCTTCTTAGTTTGAGTTACGTGTCGTTTAAGGGTTTGGCCTTGATCGTTTTGCATGACAAGGCTTTCGTTGTTCTCCTTAACAACTGTGTACTTCTGAGGGTTGAATCTGCTGTCTCCTTTCATGCGAGTCTACCGTTCGATGATGACGTATCACCTGGACCAACGCGGCATTTTCGGGCCCCCCCTACGAGCATCTTCACGTTCCTTCGCTTTTATTTTCTCCAGTCTATCTCTACGGTTGAGAAGCTCCTCGTCATGGTTTACCTTTCCGTGGCGCAGCAATGGAAGGCGTCGTTTAATTTTACGTCCCAACATGATTTACTCTGGTGGAACACCAGTTACCGAGTGGGCTGCGGCGTTATGAGCGTTTACAGCAGCTTGCAGTTCCGTTTTGAAGCATGTGGCATTACTTACGGCTGTGGCCATTGCTATGTTTACAAGTTTCATGTAATTTTCAACAAGGCCATTATGTTGAGGAAACAAGGGTGTGGTAAAAATTGTCTCGATTCCACGGTCAGCACAGTAGTTCTTGTAATCATCACTGTTGAAAGGTGGTCCATTGTCTGAACGAACATTCTTCGGAAACCCTTCGCGTTCGAAGATTTCTTGCAGGATCGTTTTAGTCTGCTCAAAGCTTGTTGATTTTACCAGTCGGGTAATTAGAAACCTTGATCGAAAGCAGTATAGAAATACCACCGAACCTAGCGTATGGACCGTTGAAATCCAAAGCGATAGTTTCCCACACGGCTTGTGGTGCGAAAATCCTCTTCATCGGTGTTGGCTTTTCTGGTCGACCATACATTGCGCAAGTTTGGCAGGATTTGACCCATTCTTCTACGTCGGTAGCCGAACCAGGCCACCATACGCGTTCCCGTAGAATGCTTTTTTGTTTGGCGACCATTAGATGGCCATCATGGGCCAGATTCAGGGCTTTCTCGCGGAGCTTGCTTGGAATTATGGCGCATCCGTTCTTCAACAGAATCCCATCCTGTACCGATAAGCCGTTAGATACATTCTCAAATTGTTTTAGCTCTCCTGGCCAGGCATGCGTTTCCAGCGCGTCGATAACATTCTGAAGTGTCGTATCCGTTGCCGTTTCTTCTTGGAGCTCTTTCTAGGTCAAGAAACCGACAGCATTTCCTTCAAGCACTGCTATCTCCCAAGGACTATGCTGATCATCGAATGGCTTATCGCTACCAACGTACAAACGAGAGGGCGGGTTAGCGATGTTATCGCGACCACGGATGTATTCCATCGGCTCTTCAAAAAATGCCATAAAGAAAAGTAGAGTTTCAACTTCCATACCACTACCGCTTCACCCCGGAAGTCTTCTTGATACACAGTGATCTACTTTTGATCAATGTTCCGGTGGTCTACCAGACTCACCATAATTATTTTCCGACCATTGTTTCGGTGGTCTTCCAGGCGCACCTTTGGCCATCAATGGCCACGAACCATTTATGAGCATCATATTGGTGGTCTTCTAGACGCACTTTGGACCATTTTATGTCACAAAGCATTTGTAAGTAACATTCCGGTGGTCTTCCAGACGCACCATGGACCATTGTAGGTCACAAACCACTGACACCAAATATTCTGGCGGTCTTCTAGACACGCCACCGCTTTTCTAGGTTATGTCGATTCTCCGATGGTCTGCGAGACACATCCATATTTCAATCAAGATAAAAAAAAAATTAATTTCCAGTTCTCTGGCTAGTAATCCTCCTGGCAGGATCGCCAATGTGGAGTTCCGCCTTCCGGAGGAAAGCCCAATTGTTCCAGGGTGTGGTTTGGTGTCCGTTGTGGGAGTTCCACTTCGTACGCGGTCGTGGTCCGAGGGCTAAGAGGACGAGAGACGATTGCTGCGTTTTCTCGTTGTCACCCGTCGCGCCTGTTGAGGAGTGCGCAGGGTTATGTGCATGATTGATAGTGAGCGGCTCGCATCTCTATGCGGAGGGTATCCGATACCGCACAGAACCGTCAAACGCGGTTCCAATCGAGCAATGTAAATAAACACGACCGCTTCACGAAGAAAAGCGTGGGAAGTATTGAGATAGGGGTTGAATTTAACTGTTGAGGTTGGTTCCCAACAAACAATTCAAAGTTACAAATAAGCATACACATTGAATAAATGCTGTATAACAGTGTACAATGCTGAATAAAACAGGATGTCGAATTATGTGCTGAAAAAAGCTCATTGAGATCGATAGATGCGCCTTTATCCCACCGTTTGCTCTGATATGATTAATTTACTTATTAAAAGCTTTATAAACGTTGACTGTCTTCCTGATTCAGAACCAGAAGTTTGATCTAATAACAAACTGAATAAGTGTTATATGCGCATACATTGACGCTTTAATTTGACTTTTTTCAATTGATTTTTTAAAATGCTTCATTAGACGTCTTATAAATGTTTTTTAGCTCCATTATTCGATTTCATTGCATTGCTAATATTGCTGTATAAGGTGAATACAGTCAGCAAAATAGCTCTTATACCATTATGCTTCCATGTTTTAATTTCATGCTCTGTAAATGCTTTACAAACGGCGTATTCATTCATTATTCCACAACATTGCTTCAGGCTAACAACAAAACGAAATTGGTAGCATAGTGGTTACCGTTTCCACTTTCCAAGTAGAAGGTCGCGAGTTCAATCCCAACCTCCAACTCTGTTTTTATTTATTGTCTACGCCTAATTAACTTAAATCGTAATCATAGATCGTATCACTAACGACAACCAATTCATAGATCTATCGAAAATAATAGCATCCATTCCATCGAAATTAAAGAGATGGAGAGGTAACGTTGGTCTTATGATAAACAACTATGAATGAATTAATCAATCTCACATCTCCTTGAATTAGCTAGAGTTACGGCTGGGAGTGCTGATAGGTTTTCAGATTCAAGCTTTTATTGCTTATTTAGTTGCCCATTTGATGTATTCTAGGATAGCTCAGATTGGAAGGCAAGCGGCTGTTGATCGGGAGGTCATGGTTCGAATCCTATCTAACGATATTGTGTATAAATTTTCTAGGATCTATGTGCGTGGTTGGGTTGGGTGCGTGCTACGACAGATGTAATGACACAACAATCACTAACGAGAACAACCCTGCTCTGTCCCGTTCTTATTTTCGGATCAATTATCCCGTAGTTGAATAATCGTTTAATAAATGTATAATAGTGCCTAATTAAACATTATTTCACATGAGAATCAAGCGTCTATATACACTAGACTGATGCAAAATTTGACTTTTTCGCTCCACAGGGCTTAAATGGTTTCAAATCGTGTCCTGATTAGCCTCCCAAAGTTACAACTCATTTGGTTAGAAACAGACTTCGCACAAGCCATTTGAAGTTTACATGTAAATTACTATGGGAAATCTCAACTTTTTTTTCATTGCCTTCTAGTGTTTTTCCATATTGAGCTGCGAAATAGCTCAACAGCCATTCTTATAGAAAATTTTCTCAGCTACAACTTTGCTGAAGATCGTTTCTATGTAAAACGAGACAGGAAAAAGTTATTAATTATTTAAGAGATTGCTAAACTTATGACATGATCAAGCAGCTGCTCTGTAGGCAACACTGTATTTTGCAGTGTGACATAGTAGTCATGATTTTTGTGTCCTATTCAACACCCCTGAAACACCAATGTTGCCTGCTGAGCAGTTGATTGAGCATAATCATAAGACATCAGCGCATTGAACCATTGATAACTTTCGATCCTTGCATTTAATCAAAAAGTGGTCTTGAGTAAAGTTGTAGCTGGGAAAAATTTCTACAAGTACAGTTGAAAGTTTTTGAAGCAGACCAATATGGTGAATTATTAGATAGACATGAACAAAAATCTTGGTTTTACCATAGTAATTCCCATACAAACTTCAAATGGTTTGTGCCATCTCAGTTTTTCACCAAATGGGTTCAAATTTTGAGAGGTTAGTCAGGATCCGATTTGGAATCGTTTAAGTATTGTGGAGCGAAAATTTCAAATTTTGCATCACTCTAATATACACCTTTATACCATCGCTGTTTAAGGAAGTAATGATGTCTAATAAACGCTGAATAATCAAAAATTTGATCGAATAAGCTCTGTTACAACTTTTGTACCTTATTCAACACGAAATATTTCGATGTTGTGGTTGAATACATTCTCCAGATTTGTGTCAACAAAGCCTGAACAGAAGTTATTATTGAAAATGGTACAAGTATTATTAAGGATGAAGTGGAATAAAATCGTCAAGAAGTCGTTTCTTCAATAGGCAATTGTTTGTTGGGTTGTCTTTATTAAAGAGATTTTCAGCCAGACGCTGGTTAACTGTTGAGATTTAAAAAAATATAATTAAGTTTGCGTATGAAAAGTGAAATTTGACAGGGAATATTATTGCTATTCACTAGCTGTATTCTCGTTTTGTTCTCACGAAATATTTGCTCCAGCGCAACGAAATACATCTACACAGGCTGTGTTACAAAGACCGGTTTATTTTTGAAGATGGTAAAATTTGTGAAAGACTTCATGTTCCCGTAAGTCGGAACAAACACCGTTCTTTTCAGTTGCTGACTTAGCAGCTTTAAAGCTGTAATTTATTAAATTATATAATTAGGATCAAATTCAAGGTAAGTAAATTAATCTAATCTTACATTTTCGGTATTATTCTTCCTTTTATCTCCTGATCTTCGGTTAACCTAGGAAGGACGAGTCCAAAATAATCTACAGGCAAGTACAAATCAATTAAGGTCCATTTTAGGTTAACAATTGAATGACAATAGGGTAAGTATTAATTTTCAGGTAACATACCTCGTAATCATTAATTTTCCACTCACTGCGTGGCACTATTATAGCGGACTTTTAATAATTAGCGATCTGTATAAAAAATCTATTAATAATCAATTAATTATACCTAATAAACTCACTTAAAACCTACGGATATTCAATTCACTTAACTAAATTTACAAAGAACTTATGCAGAAGTGCAAAACAATTCAAAGCTGCTCACTATTCGATGTCTATGTATTGTTTACTACCTCTGTCATTCCGTTCACTTTATCCGGCATTGGCGTTTCGCTCGCGAGGGTTCGGTCAGTTGGTTCACCAACAACTCGCCGCAACGAGGGGTATCGGCGACATTCCCCGACCCGTGAACCACTTCCGTATCCGCAGCGACTTTTTCTGTCCTCTTGTCGTTGCACTTAACGTCCAGAACTGCTAGCTTCACCGCAGGTCTAGCGAACACTCCCCTAGCTGTCTGCACCGTAGCACGCCTCACCTGCCCGGATTTGTCCGGAAAGGTCTCCAAAATACGTCCACGCTCCCATCGATTCCTCGAATGCTCGTCGACTATCACGACTAGATCACCAGGTTCCAGCGGCTTTACCGCCTCGAACCATTTCGTTCGCCTCGTTAGCATCGGGAGATATTCCCGCACCCATCTGCGCCAGAATTCATCCACGATGTGCTGCGCAAGCTTCCAGCTGTCTCGCAGGATGTTTCCGTTTACAGGATCGGTTGCTGGTTGCTTGATGCCGGTTGATCCGTACAGCAGAAAGTGGTTTGGCGTGAGTGCCTCTTCGTCTGGTGCTTCCAAGGGAACGTAGGTCAGTGGACGGGAGTTGACAATAGCTTCCGCATCCAACATAATCGTCTCCAACACCTCGTCGCTCGGATGTCGTGGACTATCCAGAATAGCCTTCATCGCCACCTTCACGGACTTGACCATACGCTCCCATGGTCCTCCCATGTGCGGAGCTGCCGGAACGTTGAAATGCCACTTGGTATTTGCATTGGTGAATGTGGCGGCGCAGTCCTCAATGATGTTCTGGATCCTCTGTTTCTCCTCTGATAACTGGCGATTGGCACCAACAAAGTTTGTGCCATTGTCCGAAAATACCTCCAACGGTGCTCCCCGTCTGGCTACAAATCTCCTGAACGCCATAACGCAGGCGATCGATAAAAGACTGTGGACCAGCTCTAGGTGGACAGCCCGTATAGTGAGACAGGTGAATAGACAGATCCACCTTTTCACCACGCTGCGACCCACTTTGACTTCGAAAGGCCCCATGTAATCCACGCCGACGTACGTGAACGGCCGAATAAATGGTGTTAGGCGTACCCTCGGCAGTGGCCCCATCAGTGGTGGCACAGGAACTGCTTTCTTGACCTTGCAGTGCTGACAACTTCGGCTAACTTTTCGTACCAGCACCCGAAGGTTGGGTATGTAGAACTCCTGCCGTAGTTCATTACAGACTGTTTCTCCGTTGGCGTGCAGGAACCGTTGGTGAAAGGAATCCACCAAAAGGAAAGTGATACGATGATCTCTTGGCAGCACAACGGGATGTTTCGCCGCGTATGGAATGTGCGGTGCGCATCCGATTCGACCTCCTACCCGAACGACCCCGTTTTCATCCAAAAATGGAACCAGCGAGTGCAGTGAACTTCGTTTTCCAACGCTGTGACCATTTGTTAGCTCGTGAACCTCCTCCGAATACGCCTGCGCTTGAGCCTGGCGCCAAAGTGTCTCCTTTGCTTTCACGAAATCATCTCGATCGAGGCCTTGCCGTCGACTTTCTCCGTACATAGTTTGCTTCCAGATCCTTACCGCACGGTGAACGTTGGCCATCGTTCGGACTAGACGACTCCATCTCGAAAAGCGTTCAACGACAACTACCTCGTCAGCCGTTTGATGTACGGCTACCATACGAAGTTCTTCACTTGCCGCATCCGTTTCGGCCACTAATACTGCTGATTCTCTTGGCCACTGCTCTTTTGTATCTCGTAGGAATGGTGGGCCTTGAAACCAACGGTTATCTGGATCGAACGATGGCCCCGAATTCCACTTGGTGGCATCGTCAGCCACGTTGAGCTTTGAGGGTACGTAATGCCATTCATCCACATTCGTGAGCGAAAGAATTTCACCAACCCGAAAAGATACGAACTGATGGTATCGGCGGCTGTCCGATCGAAGCCACGCCAGAACAGTAGCTGAGTCCGTCCATAGAAAACGCTTCCGAATGTTGAGAGTGAGCGCCGAACAAACGTTTTGCAGCAAACGTGATCCCATCATGGCAGCCTGAAGTTCCAGGCGAGGAATTGAGAGCGCTCGAAGTGGTGCGACTTTAGTCTTTGCTGCTACCAACGAACACCAGCTACCTCCGTTGACCGACAATCGCAAGTATACTACGCATGCACATGCTGTGACACTAGCATCCGTGAACACGTGGATTTCTATTTCGTCAACTTCCTTCGGCAGAAGATTCCCGAAAAAGCAACGAGGAACTTCCACTTCATTGATTGTCTCGTATAGTTCGATCCATCTATTCCATAGATCGTGTAGCTGCTCTTCTATGGGCTCGTCCCAGTTGGTACCCGTTCGCCAGATCTCTTGCATTAGGATTTTGCCTTGTACGACGAAGTGCGCAACGAATCCCAACGGATCGTACAGCTTCATCACGGTCTGTAGAACTTGCCTTTTCGTTGGAACCACCCCGTTGCTGCCCAAAACTTCCTTGAGCCCTGTCTGATCGAAGGTGAAATGATCCGCCGAAGGGACCCACACCACTCCTAAGACGCGTTCGTAGACTTCATCCTTATCTAGGTTCAGCGACTTGCAGGCTGACGATTCAGTCTCCCCTAGACGATCGAGCACATCCTGCGAGTTAGACAGGATTTTGCCGAATTCAAAGCCTGCTGCTGCGTGGATGAATTGCACTTGTTTGACAAGCTGTACTGCTTCCTCCACCGAGTTGACACTGTCGAGGAAGTCATCCACGTAGTGGTTCTTGATGATCGCGTCTACTGCTCTGGGATATAGTTCCGCGTAGTCGAGAGCGTTTTTGTTCTTAACGAACTGCGCCGTGCACGGAGAGCTGGTTGCCCCAAACATCGCTACATTGATTACGTAGACCTGCACTTCATCCTCTGGACTGCTACGCCATAAGAAGCACTGCGACCACTTGTCTGCCTCCCTAATCAGGATTCTCAGGAACATTTCGCGGATATCGGAGCACACCGCAATCTTGCCTTCCCTGAATCGTAGCAAAACTTCCACGAGTGATACGAGAAGATCCGGACCCTTTAGCAGCATGTCGTTGAATGAAACACCACCGACCTTTGCAGCAGCATCCCACACCATTCTGATTTTGTTCGGTTTCTTGGGGTTCGTTACCACCCCTAACGGAAGGAACCAGACTCGCTCAGGGTTCGTTTTCTCCAGCTCTTCCGACGACACCTTACAGACGTACTGCTTCTGTTCGTAGCTCTCGATTTGCTCGTTCACTCTTCTGCGCAGCTCTGGATCTTTTGCCAACCGTTTCTCCAAACCTCTCAACCTGCTTACCGCCATTTGAAAGCTATCCGGGAAGTTTACGTTGTTTTTACGCCAGAGCAAACCCGCCTCCATACGAGTTCCTCTCCGTACCGTTGTTGCTTCTAGGATGCTGCGTGCTCGTTTGTCCTCCTCGGATTCAAGCTGCTTCGTCACAACGGCGTCCTCAACGGCGAAGAACTTTCGCATTGAATCGTGTAGATTGCTGTTACTCATCTCCTCGCAGGCATGGACGTTCAGCTGTTCAATTGAACCTTCGCTTCCGTTGTTTCTCCCATACACGCACCATCCCAATCGTGTTTTGGTTGCTACTGGTTCGCTGCTATTGCCTTCACGATTCTTCAGACTAGTCAGCAACCGTACGTGCTCAAGACCGATGATCATGCCCGGTTTGGCGTTGACATAGCTGGCCACGGGAAGCCCCTGCAAATGCGGGAATGTATTTGACAGCTCTGTGTAGTGCAACGTTTGACTTGGAAGTCCTAGCTCGTGTACTGTTCGTACGTTGCTCAGTTGAAAAGTTTCCTTCTTCCCAGCACCGGATATCTTCACGCTCAACCTCTTCGATGTCTTTTCGTGTCTACTGATCTTTCCGGTCCAACTCAGCCACAGGTTGTCTGGTTCACCTTCGATACCTAACTGTGCTGCGATTCCTTCTTCTAGCAACGTCGATGACGATCCATCATCCAGGAACACGAAAGTTTCGACTTGCTTCCCATCCCCGTATAGCGTAACTGGCAGATAACGGAAAAGAGAGAACGATTTCGTGTGGTGATGATTATGGTGAACAGTCTCGCCTGACTTTGCGCCGTCGGCAGCATCGTTGCGACTACTGTGCAGCAGCATATGGTGTCGAAAACGGCATGCATCCACCCCACATTCCTTTTTTGAGCGACACGGCCACTTACGATGCGGTATCAAGCACAATCGGCACAAGTTCTTCTGCCGCATTGCCTTCCACCGGCCTCCGATGTCCAACGACTTGAAACTGAAACAGTTCAGGATCTGATGGCCGTCTTTCTCGCAGTAGGAACACGCTTTTGACGTACGTTCTCCTTCTGGACTCTCCTTCTTCAATACACTTGGCGGCTCATTCGCGTGGGTGAACAGCTTCTCCTTTTGCTTCGTCTTTTCCACCCTAGGCTGTTTTTGGTAGTTTTGGGCAGAGTCCACTCCAATGCTCAGTTCGGAAGCTAGATTCACCAGTCCCGACATGAAGTTGTTGAACGTCGCCAGGTTGACGTGAACGAACGCCTGCTTGAAGGATCCCCACTGCATTTTCAGCGAGGTGGGTAATTTATCGATCAACTCCTGTAGCAGCATCGGATTCGATAAATGCGCTTGCTGATCTGTCAGAATAATGTGATCGACGAGATTCTGAATAACAAAGCCGTAAGTGACAATGGTGCTCAGGTTATCCGACTTCGGTGGCGGAGCGTTCCTCACCTTCTTCAGAAGAGAACTTATCAGTATCTCTGGCCTTCCGTAGAGCTTATGCAACGTTTCCATCACGTACGGAACAGATGCGGGTAGGAGCAGACGACTTCTAACTGCCTCCAATGCTGAGCTTCCCAAACTGCGCTGCAGTCTGGCTAGATTCTCGGCGTCCGTGTATCCGCAGACCTCCGTCGTGTTCTTGAACGAACTATAGAAGATAGGCCACTCCTCCGGATCCCCTCCGAACTTGGGTAGCTCTCGTGGCATTACCTGCCGAGCTGCCAATTGGGCACTAGTTGGTCCTGTCGAATTGACTGAATGATTGATCCTAGTCCCGTCGATTCCCAGCGATGTTGGTACTACTGACGGTGTTACTTCCGACCTCGTTACTGGAAATGCAATACTTGTTGCTGGATACGGAAACGATACTGAATTCCCGGGGAAAACACCAGGATTGCTTGGAATTCCCGGAAACAAACTAGCAGTAGTTGAAGTAGGAAGCAACGGTGGATATCCGGGTGAAAACTGGAACAAACCAGCCGTGGAGGGAACTGGTGGATTCCCAGGAATGGCTGGTACAGGATTAGAAGAAATCGAAATTGGAAAATATGGCAAAGAGCTAGTAGTTGTTTGAGCCAAATGCTGTTGTGGATTTCCATAGAAGCCATTCACACCATACGGAATTGACGGAATCAACCCTGCAGCACTCGAGAACATTGAATTTATTCCAGGATACGAGTAGACCGGTGTAGTACCAAGACTGCTAGGAGGATTTTGGATTCCCGTCAAAGGCACTCTAGTAATCGTTGGTAAAGTTGAAATTAGCGACGAAGTAACCGTCGGTGCTGTTACTATAGTCGTGACAAAGCTTCCACTAGCTGTTGCTACTACTGTCACTGGAATCGTTGAAAACATGGGTAGAGAGGATGAAGTGCTTCCTGGTATCGTTGATAATGCCAAGGACTCGTAGGACTTCGCCAGAGCTGTGACGTTGCCACCGGGAACTGGAATCGTCGGATCCGGGTACAGCATACCCTGATTCAAAGGAACCAGATTGGTAGAGGTTTCCACCATCGAAGAATCTGTTGTTGTTGGTAGCACAAGGACCCTTGAATTCGTCTGGCTAACAGCTGGGACTGGCAGGGTAGCTTTCTGTCCGGACGTTGATGGTTTCGACTGTCCAACTCCGTCCACTTGGGCTCCCTTATTAAGCCATTTCTCCATCCGTTCACGCCTACTCTTCACGCTGACTCCGCTTTTCCTACTCGATGAATCCTTTGCATCTCCCATTTGCATCAACAACTCGTACCTTTGCCTCAGGTATTCCTGTTCCTCGTCTAGTTCCTTTAACTTAGCTTCTTCTTCCAGCTTTCGTATGCGCAGTTCTTCTTCCGTTCGCTTCTTTTTTAGTTTCCGTTGCTCCTCGAGAAGTTGTAGGCTGAGTTGCAATTTCTGCGACACTCGACTACTTTTGCTGACAGACGACTCGTTGAACGATACACCAGACTTCGATGCACCTTCCCAATTTGCCAGGCAATCACTGCACTTCCAACTTCTATCTACTTCTGCAATGGATTCACTGACACCCGCGCACTGAAAGTGTTCCCACGATTCACACACATCGCAACACACCATTCCTTCCTCCACATCAGTACGATCGCACTTTTTACAATACTTTTCAGTGTTCTCATTTACGTCCGACATTTCGAGATCGACCTAACTGAACCTGTGACTGACTCTAATGTAGCTTTTGCTATTTAACTCCTGACGGCTGACTCTAATACTTTTACTAACAGTAAAGTTCGCGACCGACGAAGGTGACAGAATCAAAGATAGGCACTGACTTTATTATACTGCACTTCACTTCCAATCTCGTTGTGGTTCCGGCGAGGGTCCAGGCTAATCGTCTTCAAGAGTGGGTCGTCTTGTGAATGTTATTCCTCTTCCAGGTAGATAACCGAAGCATAAACTCCGATGGGCAAATTATCATCCAACACAGGACGAAAATCTTTAAAGAATGTTCCCGTAAGTCGGAACAAACACCGTTCTTTTCAGTTGCTGACTTAGCAGCTTTAAAGCTGTAATTTATTAAATTATATAATTAGGATCAAATTCAAGGTAAGTAAATTAATCTAATCTTACATTTTCGGTATTATTCTTCCTTTTATCTCCTGATCTTCGGTTAACCTAGGAAGGACGAGTCCAAAATAATCTACAGGCAAGTACAAATCAATTAAGGTCCATTTTAGGTTAACAATTGAATGACAATAGGGTAAGTATTAATTTTCAGGTAACATACTTCGTAATCATTAATTTTCCACTCACTGCGTGGCACTATTATAGCGGACTTTTAATAATTAGCGATCTGTATAAAAAATCTATTAATAATCAATTAATTATACCTAATAAACTCACTTAAAACCTACGGATATTCAATTCACTTAACTAAATTTACAAAGAACTTATGCAGAAGTGCAAAACAATTCAAAGCTGCTCACTATTCGATGTCTATGTATTGTTTACTACCTCTGTCATTCCGTTCACTTTATCCGGCATTGGCGTTTCGCTCGCGAGGGTTCGGTCAGTTGGTTCACCAACAACTCGCCGCAACGAGGGGTATCGGCGACACTTCAAAAGAGCGATTTCCCTCATACATGATAGGAAGCTACAATCGCAGATTGAATAATTTTGTGCAACGCTCTGTAGAATATACCCTCCAATGTGGTTTCACTCAGAGTTGTCAAAAATTGAGTATTCTAATACTTCAATTAAATAGCGGTACTACCGATACGGTTAAAAAAATCATTTTACCGTGATGCTGAAGAAGACGACAGTCGCTCAAATTAAAAGTCACTTGAAGTTGCGGGTTGCCAAACCTTGCAGAAAAAGAAATCAGTTGGCCGTGCATCCAGATTTACTTTTATTCTCTCCGCGCGTCTCTTATATAACATCGTCTCTACCCAAAGCATCACATGGACCTTTAAGGGCTGAACACAATGACAGTGGCACAGCGGCAAACGCGCAATGTACTAAAATCGCACTAACCGCTGTACCGCTGCCGCGTTGCTGCATTCCTATCCACAATGCATGCGCGCACAATCTATTTATTTGTTCTCTTCCGCTGCATGTAAACAAACCACGTAGACGGGATTATTTTGATTGCAGTTTTAGTTATTTGTTATATGAATAATCTCTGAAAGATCAATAGAAGGTCTTTGAAATAATTAATCATTCTGAATCCTCGTAAAAATATCCAAGGGGCTTTGAAATTCTCCGAAGGTCAGTAATTGTATCTGAATTTGCATTAACTTCAAAAAAAAAATTGGGAGCACTTTGAAGAATCTCCTTCCAACGATAAAAATGTTTCAACCCGATACAGAGGGGATGTCTCAATGAGTGGGGAGAAGAGCCCACCTTCAATTCACGAAATGTTAATAACAGGGAGTTGACAATACCACTCTCCCCATCCAAATCGCTTCAATTAAGCGTCCTCTTGGTCCCATTCCTACCCAATGAATTTATATGTTTATATGAATATATGTGGGATATAAAAATATAATATAATTGCTGCCAACGGCGCTACCATGACGAAAATGGCATCTCCACTGGATCTTCAAGTACACCATCTGTCACTGTCTGAAAAATATCTATTAGAAATTACCTGTGTTGTGATACTTCCTTCAACAAAAACTAATTTTCTTGCATTATCATGGTCATCTAGTCAAGAGTAGCTGGTCCACGGAGCACTCGCAATGAGCGGTCTGTACTGATTAGTATAAGATGGTGTTATTTGCAAAGCGCGAAAAGAGAATTAAAGAAATACGAAAGGGATTAGTTTCAAGAAGTGACAGTTTCATCAATCCGATAAAACTGTCACATAACCAATGGAAAATATACATGTGAACTTCACATAACTTTCATGTGATCCCATAATTGGAAATTGCACCACTAAATCACATGAACCTTATGCGTCCAATGAAATCCATATGATTTCTCATAAATAATTTCTTATGCTGAAAAACTTTTTCAGTGTACTCAAGTATAGTAATGTAAACACGAAACACGAAACTAAAAAGCAGCAATTTTCCTTCGCGAATGAATTTGGATGCAAATGTAGGTGAGAATTCTTCTGAAATTTGCAATCTCTTTGCAAATTTCTTCCAAGAAGTATACACCACATTTTCCGAAGAAGATCGTGACCGCGATTTCTTTGCATTCATTCCTGAAATTTCTAAAAACATCTCTGTCAACCAACTTTCTCAACATGAAGTCCTCAATGCACTAAAAAACTTAAACGCGTCGAAAGGGTCTGGACCTGACGGCATCGCACCCATATTTTTGAAAAACCTTTCTGAAGAACTCGCATTTCCTCTAGAGCGTCTTTTCAACATGTCTCTGAAAAATGGAAAATTCCCTGAAATTTGGAAATCATCTTATTTGGTACCTATTTTCAAATCAGGTGCAAAATCCGACATTCGAAATTATCGTGGAATTGCTATTATTTCTTGCATTCCAAAACTTTTTGAATCAATCGTAAACGGCAATATTTTTCAGCAGGTGAAAAATCTAATTACAAGTAAACAGCACGGCTTTTTTAAAGGTCGCTCAACTACCTCTAATCTTCTAGAATATGTATCTTTCATTATTAAAGCGTTGGACAGTGGCAAGCACGTTGAAGCGCTATACACCGACTTCAGTAAAGCATTTGACCGCATCGACATACCATAATTAATCCTCAAATTGCAGAAAATAGGAATGGAGCCTGGACTTTTGAATTGGCTTCAATCATACCTAACACATCGTAAACAAATAGTTCGCTTTCAAAATAAACTTTCAGAACCAATTTCAGTCACCTCTGGGGTACCCCAGGGTTCTCATTTAGCTCCACTTTTTTTTATTTTGTACATAAACGACATTTCCTACATACTTAAAAAAATAAAATTGCTTGTATATGCAGACGACATGAAGCTCTTTATGGAAATAAGTAATTCTAGCGATGCAGAAAAATTCCAGAATGAAATCAATATATTCCACACCTGGTGTAGTAAAAGTCTACTTAAACTGAACGTAAAAAAATGTACTGCAATAGCATTTAGCAGAAAAATTGAAACACCGCATGTTGAAATATCATTAGGCAACCAAATAGTAGAAAAAAGCAAAATTGTAAGAGATCTAGGTGTAATCCTAGACTCCAAACTAACTTTTATAGAACATTATAATACTATCATTAGTAAAGCAAACAGAATGCTAGGCTTCATCAAAAGGTTCAGTCATAATTTCGAAGACCCATACACTATTAAGCTTTTATATACCACATATGTAAGGCCAATTCTGGAATACTGCCACCTAGTATGGAATCCATACATTTCCATACACGAAGAACGCATAGAATCTGTCCAAAAACAATTCCTTTTATATGCTTTACGTAAATTGAATTGAACTGCATTTCCATTACCATCTTATGAAGCGCGCTGCATGCTCATCAATATACAAACACTTAAGGAGCGCCGCCAATTTGCAATGCTTTTCTTCATCAACGGCATTATTTCAATGCGCATAGATTCGGCAGAAATTCTCGCACAATTAAATTTTTACACACCTTGTCGATATCTTAGAACACGGAATTTATTTTCAGAAACATCGTACAGAACAAACTATGCAAAAAATAGCCCAATCAATCGAATGATGCGCCTATATAATTTGCATTGCGGAACTATTGACATCACTATGTCCAAGCAGCAAATAAAAACTAAGCTAAAACAGAATAGAATTAATGCATAGTATGTAAGTAAACATTGTAATAATCATTGTATGTAGTCTACACTGGCTTGACGAAATGGAAATAAACTGAATGCCGCGGATACACTTGAATGGCCTACTATGGACATGAGCATTATTTGTATAATAATTATGAGCACTATACAACAACTAAATATACAAAAACTATACAAATGTGACCAGGGCTGTGCTCATAATTTATTATACAAATAATGCTCATGCTCATATCTTGTCTTACAAGTGTATCCGCGGCATAAGTATATATTGTGATTGTGATTGTGTAGTATAGAAGGGGGTCAAGGGCCAGGTCTCCGAAAATTTTATGCACCGTACATGGTATACCAGTAGACAGGAGGATACCATTGTGATGCCACATCACAGCATCTTTACCAGCAGGTTAAATAAGTTCTGTGTAATCCACGAATGTGAAACAGGGCAAGCCATAGTAACATCACCGGTAGGGTAACGTATCGGCAAGACCCCATCTCAACATTAATGTATTAGCTGTCATAAGGGAAGAGACGAGGGAGGGGGTGTTTGTGTCCATTCATAGATAGCTGTAACTTAAGGTGGTTAATTAGAGTATACGTAAAATATTGGTAAAATTAGTAAGAAATTACCTGATTGTTTATGATGCCTGACTTTACGGTGATGTTGTTGTTGGCGCTCCGATGAAAATCCCAGCATGGCGTTTATTTCTTCATCAGGGAATCCCTCGAATTTCGTTGGGTAAAAGTCATCGCTGCTATCGTCTGATACTGTTCCATCGCTTGTGGGGTGGGCTTTTCAAATTGTTTTCTGTTATTTGCCAGTTCTTTCCAGAAATTCAAGGAATGGCCCGATCTCTTGATATCCTTTTTCACACTCGTTTTGCAGGTGTATAATAGGTGTAGCAATTGTTGTAAATGAAGAGCTGCTGTCGTCTT